TAGTATAGATATATAGCATTTAAGATACCTATCTGGAAATAAGCAACGAAACTAGACCATATTTCAGATACCGAGCTACAAACAAGTCTAACAAAAAAAAAACATATACCAATCAAAAACAAGTCTAAGAAAAAAAAAAACAAGACCATTCAAATACCGATCTAGCGATAAATATAGAAAAAAAAACTAGACTATTCAAGATACAAATCTGGAGACAATTCTTGCAACAAATCTTAAGATAAGTTTGTGAAAAATGTGAAAAAATCTGGTAACAAATGTTCCCGCGACCCCTGCAACAAATCCATCGTTAATTCCTACATCCCCAACATCCCAAATGGAGCGGTGGATCTTATCCATCCGTTCATCTCTCCACACCAAGTCACCCTGGGCGTCCGGCTAATTTGTGTCGTGGTACATAGAAGGTTTTTTTTTAAACATAGATTCAGTGGTGCAGTCACACAGTGGGTTCGTGGAGATTAGGTGGATGGTGGTGGGGTGGCAGTGGGGTGAAGTGGAGTGGTGGAGTGGTAGTGGGGTGGTGGTGGAGTGGTAGGGTAATTGTAGTGGGGTGGTAGTGGATTGGTGGAGGGGTGGTGGAGGGGTAATGGGGTGATGGTGGGGTGAAGTGGAGTGGTGGAGTCGAAGTGGAGTTGTGGTGAAGTGGTAGGGGAATTATAGAGGGGTGGTAGTGGAGTGGTGGAGTCGAAGTGGAGTTGTGGTGGAGTAGTGGAGTGGCAGGGGAATTGTAGTGGTGGATCTAAGTGGCGTAGTTGTGGGGCAATGGGGAAAAGTTGTGGATCAAAGTGGAAATATGGTGGAGCTGAGTGAAGTGGTGGTGGAGTGAAGTGGAATGGTGTGAGCTTGCTATGTGCAATAAAGCTACACACAAGAGGTGAGTACGGGAGCTTAATATGTGAGCTAAATCAAACGTGTATTTGAGCTAAGCTACCCCAAACATTACCTACACGCCGCGACACCTGATTAAAGCTCCCAATATTTTATCCCGCTCATGTGGGCTGTACTTCGATAATCTTCCAATCATCACATCCCCGCTCCCCCCTACTCTCTTTATCTCCCCCTTCCCCCACCTCAGTTCCAGACATACGTCCAGAGTTTACCTGTGTGTGTCATGTTACCTGTGATTCCAGACCCGAGCAGGTAAGGTTCCCCCAGCCACACCCCACCCTTTACCTGCCCACAACCCCCCCCCCCTCCTTGATTCCCACCCCAACCGCAACCTGGCCACAACCTCCCCCTCCCCATTTTTCGTGGCCATTCTGGTTTTGGCCAGCCAACTACGACCCTCCCTCCCCCACCCCCACGCGCCCTCCAGGACAGCAGAAGATGCTCCCTGAGTTTTACCTTTCTCTATAGACAGGTACACGCCAATAGCAGGCTTCTTTGTTCTCAAAATTTATTTGACGGTATCGGCTTATTACATTTTTTTAAACACATTAATGCTGGCTGACAGCTTATAATTAATGCTCTAGTTTAATTTATTTTTATAAGTAGACCTGCATGTTAAAATCTACGGATTCTTTAGCCCAAAAAAAAGACAGAAAGACAATATCCACTAACTTACTTACATATATATATATATATATATATATATATATATATATATATATATATATATATATATATATATATATATATATATATATATATTCCTCTTTAGGCCTAGTGCAGATGGAGTAGAGTTCATTTCAATCTTGACCTCGGCATATGAAAGGATAATGTGGTCAGCACTATGCCCAGCCAATTTTATTTTACCTAACGTGAGTTAGGTACCTATCAGTGCTGGGTGGACTTAGGGACGTTGGACTAACTTAAACCAGGTTTCGGGTTAGCAGTCCAGCGCTAGACCACGACGTCCCATAATATATGCATACATAGGCCTATATGTACGTTTATTTATATCAGGGGTCTCCAAACTACGGCCCGCGGGCCGGATGCGGCCCGCAAGGTCCTCTCATCCGGCCCGCGGGGATCTTTTTGTCCACGGAAAAACGTTTGTTGGTGATGGCTGAGGAACTTTGCCCAGAAAAATCAAAGACATGCCTGGAAGAAACTGGCCCCCGAACTGAAATTTGATAGTTAATGCGGCCCTCGGACTGAAAAGTTTGGAGACCCCTGATTTATATCAATGAAAGCTATGACTGATTCACACTACAGACCTGGGTGAAGGAAAAAATAGAACATTCTAGGGAGAAGGAAGAAGTGATATTCTCGGAGTCATGCTGTCCCCAACTACAACACCATGATGTCATGAGAACGACAAAATAAAGCTGCCCCCCCCCCGTCGACGCCCCATCTCCCAGGCTACAATCACGTGACCAGCGGCCATTGATTGTTGCATGGGGTACTGATGTGACACGTGACCGGGGAATATTGGACCTACATGGAAGACGACTTCGGACAGATTGACTAAACGAGCTCTGTCAGTCGAGCCTTGAGAAATAAAACGGTTTCCGTTTTACGTGGTTCTTGGGGGGGGGGGGGGGGGTATTTACTTTTTAATTTTTCTTAGAGGTTCTAACTTTGGAAAATGAAAAAAAAAATATATGTTTTGTATGTGCTTTTCGACAATATAAAAAATTATCATAGATAACTTATTTTACTTTTTATTACAAAATTTCACTCATCGCTACTGTTAGTTCAGTAGTTCAAACTAATTTTATTAAAACTGAAGTACTGTTGATAATTTGTCGCCAGTGCTAAAATAAAATCCTCATTTCAAAATAAAGGTATCCTTTGGCGTGCTAGAACTGTTAAAACTCTAACTTTTCCTCGATAAGGAAAATAAGGCGGGGATTTTAGCCGATTGGTGAAGAAGGAAGTACATTTTTACCGACTTTTAGCCTGTTAATACAAATCAGGAAAACCACGTCCCATCCCCTCCACCGTAAAGATGAACAGCCCTCCCCTACCCTTGCTCATACACGCATATCCTATAATGATCATACTTTCATTAATTCTGTTACTTTACTTACACAAATTAGCGACACTTTCAACATCCTTCTTCATAAGAACCCCCACCTTTGTTGAACGTGATGTATAGAGGACCCACCTCACGCGACATACAAGTTATATAACTAACATATACTAGGTCTAGAATAAGGTAAACTGAGTTATCACTTAATCTTATAAATGTTAATTTGTAATTTATGGTCGATTAAAAGTAATTCGATAATTAATTAAAATCGATAAACATCATAAAAAACTAAACTCTCTGAAATATTGATTCAGTTGTCGTTATGTCGACTATTATGTGAAGAACATCTAAGTCCAGTTGCCCGTCACTCACTGCTCCATCCCCTTCCCTCCCCCCCCCCCCCACACTTAGTTTACAAGACAAACTAGCTAGCTGACCATGCCAGCTTAATACCGGTGCCTCGTTAGAAAGTCTATTGTCAAGACACCCTGAACCAGGGGATGGGGAGAGCGGGGGGGGGGGGGGGGTGTCGGGGGGGGGGGGGGTACGACAAACGTGACTGATTGAATACTACTCCCCATGAGTGACCCCGCCAATCATTTTAAACCACGGCCCGGGCCCTGTCCACACAAGAATGGGGACGTTTCAATCGGCTAATCGGTCACTTCGTCTCTAGGAGTTCCAGAAGTTTCTGGCAGAGTCAAGGGTCCGCGCGACATTAGAGGTCCCTCGTGGCATTAGGGGTCTTTACGACATGATGGGGCAGCGTGAAATAAGGGGTCCTTGTGACATTAGGGGTCCTTGTGACATTAGGGGTCCTTGTGACATTAGGGGTCCTTGTGACATTAGGGATCCTTGTGACATTAGGGGTCCTTGTGACATAATGGGACATAGTGAAATAGAGGGTCCTTGTGGCATAAGGGGTCTCTGCGACATATTGGGACATCGTGAAATAGGGGGTCCTTGTGACATTAGGGGTCCTTGTGAAATTAGGGGTCCTTGTGAAATTAGGGGTCCATGTTACATAAGGGATCCTTGCAACATGATGGGACATTGCGAGATAGGGGGTCGATATGACATGGGGTGTACATGTATCATGGTCCCCATCGAGGTTTAGATATTTTAAACTAAGTCGAAATTCTAAAATTCTAAAATTTAAAATATGCGTTAAGATTTTTAATTTTTTTTTATAATTTTTAAATACAATATTCTAATTCGAGATCTGAGTCGCAAGAACAATAATATTTTATGAAAAAATATACCGATCAGCTCAATAAAACTCACTCAAAGTTTTTTTATTTAAATATTTTACAGTAATTGTAAAATCGTAATTATTTATAATTTCATTGACTATACGCTCTTAATGTATTGATTAACTAAAACACTAACGAAAACAATCCTGTCTTTTTTCCCCGGCTAAATGTTTAAGGCCCTTGTTGATTATCCCCCTTTCCCTCTCCAATTTATGACCACAACCCGGCGTTTAGCTCCCTTTATCTTCCCCTCAGCTCTCGCTTCACTGCTCACCCCGGTGTGTGCGCGCGCGTTCAACGGCTACTGAACAGAAGGCGGTGTGCTAAAAATAGACTTCCCGCGGCCTGCAGGCGAGCCCTGGCACTTGATGCCCACCCCTCGACGTCTCGTTCCTTAGTGTCAACAGAAAGTTTTGGGGGGAGAGAAAAACTTTTGAACACCCGCGCCCGTGTGTTACAGGGTACGACTGTGTTTTTTTTTATCAAAGAAAGGGGGTATTATTTTGTCACATTGAACTATATTTTGTATCGTTTAGTAAAGATATTAGTGCTTATATTCGTATATAATCTACATTCGGTTATTCTACATAGGGAAGGAGAAGATTTATCCCCCCTCCCTTTTTCACTTCGGTGCCAGACTTCACCTGGAAGTCACAGCACGGCTCGACATGACGGTTGGTGTGGCGAAATCTCGGGTCCCGTGTGCTAGTTTTAATAATTTATTTTTTAAATACACCGTCACACTAAATGTCAATATTTCTATTATTTATATAATAAGATTACTAACGAAGTAATGATGGATCGTGGCTTACCTCGAGAGGTTTCATGGTCGAAGTCTGTCTGGCATGTGTTTTCTCCGTCGCAGGATCACACGGCACCGTGGGGCTAGGGTGTCTCTGGGACGGCTGAAAAGCACACAAATGCCAAATTTAGAACTGGTGTGCGCGTCCACGGCGCACGTTCAGAGCAAGACGTAGGTGTCTAGAGTGGAAGAGGGACGCGAAGATTTTTTTCGGGAGTGAGGGGGGGGGGGGGTATGTTAAGAGGTGGGACGTGGGGAGGAGAGGAAGAGAGCGCGAGGGACGGGGTGCTGGTAGTGTCACCCCTGCTGGCACCGGGTCTGGTGATGGGGGATAGACCCGAGTCAAATCTATCTGGCATTAACTGAATATGTACCGCCGGGGCTACACATACACACACACACACACACGTACATACACGTGCGCGGGTAATGCCAGGGGGGAGGGGGAGGCTAACAGACCATCCTGTAGACCTGTAGAAATATGTTGGTCGTCCTCTACACGACTGCCTACCTTTCTGCGTTGACTCACTCGTGGTTCCAATGTGTGCGTTCTTACAGAAACATGTTGCGCCGTTACGTATTGAGCTGACTCGCTCACTCGAGGGTTGACACAAATACATTGGTGCCGTGCATATATATATATATATATATATATATATATATATATATATATATATATATATATATATATATATATATATATATATATATATATATGTGTAGAATGTATATTATGATTGGTAGTGCGTACTTACAAATACACATTGGCCTACATGTATACATATAAAACATATATTATTATAATTATATATAGATATAATTTCTCGCATATATGCGGACCCAGTTCTAGATAGATCTCTACAAATAGACACACAACCGTATAGTTAAAATGTGTAGACTACATAATAATACTTGTCTGTAATCACTTAGTACACTGCCACTTTAAAAAAAAATGTACAGATAATGTACATATAATGTATGTACCAACCATGTTATCTCCAGAACTGCTCATACGTTATGTCACCAAGGAGACAGCGGTCCAATTTTCTTAATCTTACATCACGTGATCGACTGACCAGTCACTGACCACTGAAACTGTACCTCTACATAAAGGCCGCGTGCGACAACTGAATTATCCCGAGATCTTGAACATAACACCGAAACACCGAAACGAATTGCTCACTAAATTCACATTCCTATCTCTTCCATATGACTACGTCGATTCTACTCCTATGTCCGTTCTGGTTTTGAGGAAAAGGAAAAAAAATGTCAAAGACAGCACCAGTCAAAGACAGCACCAACAGAATTTATATATATCCTGGTACGCTTAAGGAAAGAAATGAAGAAAAAAAAAAGATATTTGAGATTGGGGACGCGTTGCTCCCCTACGAAATGTTGGCGGGGTGCGATCGGCTTTAGGATCAATACCTGAAACAGCGACGCCAGCGGCGGCATCAACGGATGCGGCGACAGCAACAGTTGACGACCGGGCGACGGAAGCGCGGGAGGGAGAATGGGGTCGGGGTAGGGAGGGGAGGGGGGTTGGGGGGGGGGATGGGAAATATCCCCCGCGGACCAATGTCGCAGATCCCCTAAACACTGGCCAAACATCCAAATCGAATTGGTCCCGTCAAGCGATAATAACCGATCGATATTGGCGTCGTGCATTGCTACTCCCCCACCCACACCCCCGTCCCCCCCCCCACCCCACTCCCTCCGTCCCTGTGATGCCGACAAATGTTAGGAGTCCTACAATAATTACACGCTATACAGAGAAAAAAGGGGGCGCTCTTGACCAATAGCTGAGGCCACTCTACAATCATTCCAACGATGGTTTTAAGGTAAGGGTGGGGGTAAGGGGGTGGGTGGGTGGGGGAGGTTGTCACATGGAAATTAACTTATCTCGGGTGAACTAAACAAATGAACATCCAAAGAGACGGACAATTGGGTCGTTGTGGGGGAAAAAATAGAAACAAGGGGAGGTAATCATACACTTGTGACAGGGAGACAATTTGTCTCGTTCACTGGGGAAGGGGAGGAGTGGGGGTGGGGGGGACGGGGGGGACGACAGTTACGCCATCTTTTTGTTGAGCTCATCCATGGGTTGGATTGACAATCATAACCTGATCTCCGGGAGGGGGGGGGGATTTGTAGGGTGTGGGTGGACGGTGGTGGATGGATTTATTTAGATAAATAAAAATTTATCTTCCAATTTTCTATTTTAATGAAAACAAATAAATCAATTAAATATGAAACAATGAGTTGATTAAATATAAAATACTGATCATGGCATTGATAAATACCTTGAAAAAGATAAATAAAGGTTTGGCATTATAAAAATTTGCTTGAGCTTTAACGAACAGAAAAAAATAATTATTGGTTGACAATTTATAAAAAAAAAAATAATAATAATTAACTGGTTGGGCACATATATAAAAATTAATTAACTCCTTGACTACATGTATAAAACTAATTAATTGCATGATTAAATATTATGGAACAGTCAAGTTATGAGAATATTGCAAGGGGGATTTAACGCACCGCTTCCACTAAATAAAAATAAATAATGACATGACGTAATGACTTCATACTGTCACGTGACCCAACCCATCGGCTGGTTCCAAGTACAATTTAAAAAAAAAAGAATTATATAAATATAAATTTAAACAAAAATTACAATTTCGACAAAAGGCGTTTTTCTATTAATTAAAGTAAAAAAAGACTTTGGTCTTTTTAAAAGAGATTCATTAGTCTGCCGCTGTTTTTGGGGTGATTTTATAATAGAAAGGTTTTACTTATTTTGACATAAAGCTATTGAGACGAAAAGATTGGTCGTGTTTCTTGTTGAGGGTTAAAAATAGTAATGACATGTTTTGTACTGTTTGTATCTAATCTTGTATTTACATTTTTAAACATCTAATTATTTTAAAATTAGCATTTGCTATTCATTTTAACAACCTATTTTTTAATAAACTTATGTATTTCAACACAGTGCTCCCTTTCAAATTTTAATTATAAAATTCGCGGTGACTAAAATTGTTTCATGACCTTCCTAAAGCGACCATTGTATTTTACTGTTATATTTAAAGAAAGGAATTTGTTTTCTTTATTTTTCCATGCAATTTAATAGCTTGGTATTAAATAAATAATATATTTTACTAATAAGTACAATGTAAAAGTATAGCCTAATAGTCACTATAGATTAAGTATCAAATTGAGTATTTCCATTCTTATCGTTCTAGTAGAAACAGGGACAAATTATTTGCTATGTATAATGTGTCGCTTTTTTGCGTCAGCATGGAAGCTAAGATTTGTAAACATTGGCTCACAGGGAAGGCTGAAACTACATAGCTTTCTCCGCTATTTGGTATTGAAACACCAGCCTTTTATTTAAAAAAAAAGTTTAGTAAAAAAGGTTTAGCTTTTTGGACAATGGAAAAAAAATTACGATAGCTAACAGATTAAATTAATGATGTCAAGTTGTTTATAAAAAAAAAAATGAAAAAAAATTGAGAACATTATTTGTTATAAATTTTCTTGACCACTGTAAACTATGACATAGTGTATTAGCATAAATTACATGCTCTAATTATTTTAATACACCGTCTTTATTTATAGAGAGTTAGTTGAAGAATTAGCTGTATCTTTTAAAAAAAAATAATTAAATGTGTCTTCAGGAAGCCAGCAAGATTTGACTTATCCCAATGATAATTCCAGTGCTCTGAACGACGGGTATAATGTACTAAAACACCTTCACAGCAGGTAATAGGCCTGCATGTACGTCATTAGTGAAGTCTTAAGAGTGAACTGTAGGATGAAACCCACCCCTCCCACCCCTCACCCCCTCCACCCCCATGAAATTTCCTGTTCAAGGAAACTTCATTTAAACAAAAAAAAGATCATATGTAATCTTTGTAAATATTTCTAATTTCCCACAAAAGGTACCCATACATAAATACATACATATTTAATACCACCAGCTAATTTATAATTTTTTACATTGACGTAGGGTGCAAAATTAATAAAATTATAAGCCTAAAATAAATTTAAAAATTTATCAATAGTAATATTAATGAGAATTTAAAAGCAAGGTTGGGAGTAAAATACGTTTTAAGCTGTCAATGTATTCTATCTGTCGTGATGTTATGAACAACGGCGGTATGGTGTGTAAGAAACGATGGTGGGTTAGCCCCTCCATTCTTCGCTTGAAAAGAAAAAGCAAATGGTTCAAGTGTTTAGCGCTTCTGCGAGACTGTCATATACAGCGTCCATGTGTGCTTCATCCGGGAACCGTGCACGAGAAGTAGATGGTGAGCACACGGTAAGAACTCAGGGGGGGGGGGGGTGGGATGGGAGGGGGGGGGGTGAGAGGGGGATGGGACGAGATGACAGATTAAAGGGAAGGAACTCTACGTTAACCTAGGGGACAAGGGGAATTAATGAACTGGCCTAGCAACAAGTTTTGTAAAAAAAAAAAAAAAAGGAATCATAAAGAAAGAGAGGGTACGACTTGTAGAATGTGAACATATAAAGGACGTCCCGGGCCAGGGCAGTTTATGCCTAGAAACAGGAGACAGACTCGTCTTGTAAACAGCGCCGTGGACGGATGAGGGAGCGATGCGGGGGCCGGGGGAGTGATAGCGAGGGCACGGTGCTATCCGTGGAGCCAGGACAGGCAAGCGCTGTTTGCTTCCCCCCCCCTCCCCCCTCTTTCTCTCTCCCCCCGGTGTCTCAGGTTACCGGTTCCAGAAGACGTCTTTCTTTCTCTGGCTCGCGGTGCCAAAGTTGGGTCAACCTCTCCCTGACTTCGGCTGGTGGAAAGGTAAAATAGGGGGGTGTGGGGGTGGGGGTGGGGGGTGGTGATGGTGGAATAGTTGGGTCAACTTCTCATGACTTCGGCTGGTGGAAAGGTAAAATAGGGGGGAGGGGGTGGGTGGGTGGGGGGGGGGGGGGGTGGGGTGGGGGGTGGGGGGGGGGTGGTGATGGTGGAATAGTTGGGTCAACTTCTCATGACTTCGGCTGGTGTAAAGGTAAAATGGGGGGGTGTGGGGGTGGGGGTGGTGGGGTGTGGTGATGGTGGAATAGTTGGGTC